AAGTTTGTATTTTCTCCTAGAAGGAAGAGATTGTTGAGCAAGGGGAGTGACATGATCACACCTATTCTTTAGAAATGTTGATTTTACAGCTTTGTGGTGAATGGATTGTGAGATTAATTAGGAGATTCTTTAATTGTCCAAGTGAGAGGCCTAGGGCCTGATCTGGGGTGATAGCTGTGTGAGTAGAGATAAGAGGAATTTTAGAGGAGTTGTGGAGGTTGAATTGATAAGCCTTGAGGAGTGGCTATTTGGTGTTGAGAGAGAGACTGACTAGTCAAGGATTGACTTTAGGTTGCAAACCTGGATTACTGGATAATAATAAATAGAGATAAGGAAGTTAAGGTGGAGGGTTTGGGTGAAGGATGAGTTCTGTTTTGGACATTTTGATTTTTAGATGCTAATGGTATATTCACAGTTGGTGATTAGGGATGAGTTGACTAGGATTGGATATTAATTCTAGGAATCACCTGCATAGAGCTAATAGTTGGGTGACTGGGAACTGAAGAGATCAGTAAGAGAAAAAATGTAGAGAGAAGATAACAGGGCCCTGGATGTACCCCACAAACCAAAATGGAGAAATGGATGATGCTGGAAAGCACTAGCTAAAAAGGTCAGCAGATTTGGCAATTAGAACATTGATTACCTTGGAAAGCAGTTTCAGTTGAATGAAGGAAAAGACATAGAGGCAGTAAATACAGGCTGATTTTTTTTTTCTAGGCTCAGTATAATGTGGTTAATCAGAGAAAGCTCTTGTATGTATTGAGTTTTGGAAAGCATTTTGAAAGAGGGAAGTGCAGCACAGATTGAAAAGGATAGGATGCCTTCCAATAGAGTAGAATAACCTGTTCAGAGACCAAATGGATGTGAGAATGTTATGTGTGTTTTCATGCACATACAGATGGTGAGCAGATTTTGTTTGACTAAAATGGGGAATCTGTGTTAGAGAGTAGTGAGAAATTTTATTAGATAATTAAAAATTTGGAGGGGCTTCTGCCTTGGCACAGTGGAGAATGAGCCCAGTTTTCATCATATTAAGTTCTGAATATTGGCAATATAGCTAAATGGAGATAATCTGGAACTTGGAACCAGACTCCTTGGAATTCTCTGTAAAGCCAGTACAACCATGATGGTATTAATGCATTTTGGATATGTGGTAGGTTATCTCTGATTAATATTTACCTTATCACCCTAGTATATTCAGAGTTGACTGTCCTTTTTTGTTGAGACTACTTAACATTATGAATATGTATGTTCTTTCTATTTTCCTCTGAAAAGATCAATTAATCAAGGACCATGTCATATACATTAACACCTCTTTAATCTGGAAGTCAGGTTTCTATATACCTTAATCCTTCAAACAGAATTATAAATTTGGAAGAAAGTCCTTTTTGAGTAGTAGAAATGATTGTTCCCAAATACATGCATTCTTATGGCAAGAGGAGTCTTGTCAAAGGGGGAACCTTCAGACCCTAAGGGACCACCCTAAATTACAGTTTACTTTTATTTTATACACTTCTAAAAGTTGAGTTACTTTATTTTCAGCCTGTAGCTTGTTAGAAGTATCAAATTAGAAAGTTATGAGGAAAGGCAAGGGCTACTAGAAGTAGCCATATCATAGCAGTGAAAAGTGATAGTTTCTGGCATTCTGGTACCATTTAATATAAAGGCAAACAACCCTAGTAGCTTCCAATGATACCATTCTGTTACTGTCAGTAATTGTTCATTATGATTTCTTGAATTATTAATAAATGTTAAAATTATGTGTAGTATGCTTTATTTAAGAAGGTAGGTAAATGCATAATATACTAATAATAACTAATAGCTAACATTTATATAGCTCTTTAAGGCTTTAAAGTGCTTTACCTATATTAACTAATTTTTTTAATATACTAGTATATCTAGTGTATAGTATTTCTGTAGATGAACATAAATGCCTTGAGAGCAGGAACTGTTTTGTTTGTAACTCCAACATATATATAGCACAATGCCTTATATAGAGTAGGCATATGATATATGTTTCCTGAATTTATTTTTATGAAAAGATTTAATTAAAGCTGCATAAAGCCTTTGGTGCTTAAAAGAAGTATAAAATTCAGTTTTCTGGACAATTTACTTATGTGGAATATTCCATTCCTCTATAATACTAGGTGATGATAATAATAAATGTAATAATGATAGCATTTATATAGCCCTTTAAGGTTTACAAAGCACTTTACACATGTTGTCTCATTTGATCAACAAACCTGTGAGGTAGATGCTATTATAACTCCTGTTTTACAGAGGAGGAACTCATTTCTTCCTGATTCCAAGTCCAACACACTATCCACTATGCCACCTGCCTGCCTCAAATAGATAAATGAAGTGTTACTTTTAGTATGCCTCTAGGATAGATCCTAAATAACTAAGGTGTATTACTTTGTGTACTACTAGCCTAAACTTCATTTTTTTTTTCAGCCAAAGGTAAGGTTTATTAGAACATCTGTCATTGTGCAGACTCTGAAGGAGTCTGAGCATCTGAGCTATTGGCTAGATTGTAAAAATCTGAGCAGTAGCTAGATTATGAGAATCTGAGCAGTGGCTACATTTTAGGAATCTAAGCAGCGGCTAGATTATAAGAATTTAAGTATCTTAATGGAGACAAGATGGACCTTATATACAGAAAGACTGTGGGAGGGATCTAGGAGTGGCCAGGTAGTTTGGGGTGACTGGAGAGGGGGTCTAAGGATATCTGAATGGGAGTGGCCAGTAAACTGGGGTGAACAGAATCCTGGGACCTGGACAATGGCATCTAGCTAGAATTAAGGGTGGGAAATGGCTGGGGGCCATAGGGAGGTAAGACTATGGAGAATTAGGCTAGATTAAGGGTAACAGAATTGGGAGATTGGGTGTAGCCATAATGAAAGGCCAGTTGATGGGATTATAGCCTCAGGCAAATGCCATAGATTTCGGCAAGTGGGAAAGTCCAGGGTTTTCCCTTTTGGGGGTCTAGCTCCCATCCTCATCATTCCCCCCTCAAACATATGGGACCCAAATTCTTTTGGAGTAAGGGGCGAAGGTATTGGCTTCTGAAACTGCTTCCTGCTGGCAAGGGATGTAGAGCTGTCCCTGTCTCAAGGAGGTCCCAAGAAGGAGGTTGACTGGAATGGAGCATAGGCTGCATCCAGGGAATGATGAGAGGACATTGGCTGGTACTCGATGTTTGCTACCAATTGTAGGTGAATGGCCTGTAGTCTGGAAAACACAGCCCAAATATAAAGCAGGAACTAGATTTAGGACCCAAATTTGAGAAGATAAAACATCCTTAGCTCTGTTTGGATTCAGATAATTCAGTTTTCCAACCATGCAATATCAAATCCACCTCATAGCCAGGTGGGTAACATTCCCTTTCAAAGGAACATAATGGGGAAACTGAGCCAGGAGGATCCCATCTTAGATTGAGGCTAAAATTGTCTTCTCAGCTTTTTCCAATGCTGACTTCCCACCAGTATCACATTCTCTGAGTAGCTTATAACATTTCTCTCAGATGATGGATTATTGAGTTATCGATGGATTATTATGATCCATTAGACAACTCAAAACCATGATCTTTTTTACCTCAAACAGCAAGTTTCACTAATCACAGCTTAGGAAAATCTTTTCCAGGATTTACATCTCAAATTTAAATTTGTCCTGGTGTAAAAAGCCAATCATTAGATTATTTCTATATACTTGCAAATTCTCAACAAGACAAAACCCAAACAAGCTTTTTGGCAAGTTTACACATTAAAACAATAACCAACATTAGCCAAATTATTTTAGCAGTAACCAAATCATGAAAAACTGCTTGACATAACTGATACAAAAAGTTCACCAATTTGAAACTTGAAACAAACCCATTACCAATCAGGTGACTTCAGTTTTGTTAAATGCATTTCCAAATTACTTTACAGAGAGAAGCAACATCTCATCATTAACAGTTAAAACTACAACTTTAAAAGAGCATGCTTACCCAAGTTTGGAGGCTGGCTTCTTTACCTTGAGCAGGGTGTGCTGAACCTGGATGATGCTTCCAGGAAAAGGCTTAGGGCCCAAGGCCATTGCCAGTGGGACCCACACTATAGTTGCTGCCCCTCCCCCCTCCTTCCTTTCCCAGGTGGGGGAGGGGGAAATCAAAGGTGAGGGGTGAAGGGTGAAACTCTCTTCTCCTATGAGAGATACCCTCTTGACTCTAGGGAAGGGAGTAGGAGAAAGGAGTGACCAGGGTTTTAAGGAGTTTCAAAACTCCTTAATGATCAATCACAAAAACTCCAGAATCTGCCAAGATATTTTTAGCTGTTCTGACTTTTCCCTGTAACCTCCATGGAGGAGGATTCAGGAATGTAGCGGGAAGAGAATAAGTAAGCCTCAGGGAACCAAAAAGCAACTGAAGTTTTCCCTAATTCCCTAGCGCTGAGAGAATTGACAGAATTGGGCATGCACTTCCAGATAGGGCATCCGTCCTTGTCCTCCATGCTGCAGAAGGTGTACCTAGGTCCGTGGCCTCAAACCAACCCAGTTGACTGAGAGCCTGAGAGCTTCAGGCTGAGTGTGAGACAGCCTCGTAACTGTCTGCCCAAAAAGTACCTCCAAGCTTTGGTGCTTGGAGAGCGACCCCAACTGCAGAGCAAGAAAGGAGGGTGGGGGGAGGCTTGCATATCTTCCAGTCTTGGTTGGAGAAGAACTTGGGGTTAGGCAGTTTCCCTGTATGAGCCACCAAAATGTTGAGGTTTAGAAGTGCTGGGACTCCAAAAACATGCAGGTCCTGCCTCAAAGAATTCTACCTAAGCCTTCTTTCAGCCAAAGATAAGGTTTATTAGAGCATCTGTCATATTGGGTAGACTCTTAAGGAGCCTGAGCATCTGTGAACTATTGGCTAGATTGTAAAAATCTGAGTAGTGGCTAGATTTTAAGAATCTAAGCAGTGGCTAGATTATAAGAATCTAAGCCTAAACTTCATTTTTGTTGATTGTTTTTCCTTTTAGGTTCTAATGACATCGTGATAAAGGCACAAGTTTTAGCTGGCGGTAGAGGAAAAGGAACATTTGAGAGTGGCCTCAAAGGTGGAGTGAAGATAGTTTTTTCGTAAGTCTGTCATAAATGTCAGACATGTTTCAGAAAAAAAAGTTATCAGTGTTATTAAATAGTTGAAATTATGAGATTTAAATATTATACAAGAGATTTATAATGTTACATGACTTTTTTATTGTAATATTATCAATATCTGCCTTTTAAAGAAGAGCTATGATGTTTGAAAATGTTTTCTTTTTTCAGTCCAGAAGAAGCAAAAGCCGTTTCTGCACAAATGATTGGGAAGAAGCTATTTACCAAGCAAACAGGAGAAAAGGGCAGAATATGCAATAATGTGTTAGTCTGTGAGCGCAGATATCCCCGGAGAGAATACTACTTTGCAATAACAATGGAAAGGAGTTTCCAAGTAAGTAATTATGCACATAACGCTCTTATGGTGTGATTGGTGTGTTTAGATAGAAAAATCCTTTGTGGATGAGATTGCTGTCTTAAAAATAGAATATTATTATTGTATTGTTTATATGGTGACTCCACTAATTTAAAATAAGCTGATTTACTGTATGAGGTGATGAAAAGACAGCCCTAGGTAGAATTCCAAATAGTGAATTCCGTTGGATACCCATTTTGTTGTGGTGTTTTGTTATGGCTAATACAATGCTAGAAATTACATTCCCAGTCTGCAACAGTTCATGAGTCAAGTGATTATGTAATGAATTTACAAATAAATACTTCATACTTTTGAGAAGAAAGAGAGGAAGTATCTTACACACACCATACCGCCTATTTTTTCTTTCAGGATTTCAGATCTTTTTGTGTTTGGTTGGGAACTTAGAAATTTTAAGTGAATTTTTCTATTGAAGATGGTTGGGATACTTCAAATGGAAAGAGGTGAGAGAAACTGAAGGATGCCTGCTTCTTTAGGGCAGGACAACAGAAATAAAGACCTAGGCTATATTCTTCACTTAGTCAGAAGTGCTAATAGTACTTCTAGAGTATAGTGTGAAATCATTTATAAGTATATAAATTAAGGGAGTTGTACTAAATTATTTTTAAGGTCTCTTATTCTATGAGCCTGTGATATTTGGAAACAGAATTAACATATGTTTTGCATGCTAATTGTGTTCCTCTAAGCATTTGCATTCTGTACTTAGTTTTGAAGGCCATTGCTTGACTCTGTATATTTATCTGTGTAAAAACTAGGGGTTTTTTTTTTGGTTAAAAGTAATGTTTCAGTTTTTCAGTACCAAAGAGAGGATTTGTTGTAAATCATTAGTTGCTGTAGAAAATTTAATGTAGCCAAATAAGTAATTAAGTTAAATTCAGTTCTCCCATTGGTGAGTGCCTCCCATTGAGAAATGACCTATATCAGCTATCCTTCTATTAATTTTACCACTATGTCCTTCACAATGATAACGATGATAATCATAATAGCTTAGCTTTTATATAGCACTTTAAGGTTTGAAAATACTTAGAAATATTATTTCACTTTATCCTCACAATAACCTTGAGCTATTATTACCTGCATTTTACAGATGTGGAAACTGAGGCAGAGAGAGGTTATGTGACCTGCCCAGGCCCACATAACTAATAAGTGATTGAGACATGTTTCAAACTTAGGCCTTGCTGACTCTAAGTCCAGTGCTCTATCTACTGTGCCATCGTCTTGCCTGTCACAAGTACCTTTCTCCCTACCCCAGCTCCCTTTTATGTGTTGTCTTCTTAGGAAATAAATTTCTTGAGGGCAGGGGTTGTCTTTTTGCTTGAATTTGTATCCCTAGCACTTAGCACTAAGTGACTGGCACCTAGTAAGTGCTTAATAAGTATTTGTTGATTTGACTTGACTGTTTAACTCAAAGGAGAATTCTTTATAGCAAGCATTTCCACATTTTTCTTTTAAAAAACCTTCAGCAACTCACTATTGTTTATGAAATAAAAGTCCAGATTCCTTACTCTAACATTCAAGACCTTTTACAACCTTGTTCCAACCTTCCTTTCCTGTCTTTCTCACATAGACCCCTTCACATACAAACCAAATCTGGATTGCCTAGAGAATAGTGTATATGAAGAAGAATGTGTAAGGGAAGGCTGAAAAGGAGGTGTATCCAGGTTGTGAAAGGCCTTGAATGTTAGGGTAAGGAATTTGAATTTTATTTAGTAGGCAAATGAAAGTTTGTTGAACAGGAGAAGGATGTGTGAACATAGCTTTGTTATATAGAGTCCTTATTTTAATTGTAATTTTACCTAACTATTCTAATCTCTAGTTATGTTTTAATTCTAGAAATTGCTTATTTGTAATGTACAAAGCCTTTTTTGAGTCTAGAATAAGTCATTGAGCTCATCTGAGTCCCCTGCAAAGATTGGGGATTCCTGGATGGGATGGATGTAGAGTGAGAAGTTGAGATGTTCTCTGAGCACAGCATGGTTTAGTGAAAGTAGCCTTATATTTGGAGTGAGAACTTGAGTTTGTTCTGTTTCTACCAGGGGAGAGGAAAAAATTTTGGAGTTGGGAAATCTGTGTTTGAATCTTAGCTCTATCACTTATTGTCACCATGGGCAATTTTTCTGGGCCTTAATTTCCTTATTTATAAAAAGGAAGGAGACAAACTAGTTGCTCACTATGGTCTCTTTAGCTCTCAGATCCTATATTTTTTCTTTTATTTTGTACTGTGAATACATTTTCTCCAGTGTAACACTAGATGGTAGTAAAACCCTACTAAAAGTATATAAAAACCTTTATGGAATTATCATTTTACTATATATGTTGTTTAGTAACTTTTAAAATGAAATCTCTTTAAAGACTTTTTTCTGCCCGAACCTGTACTTTTTGCATGTTCTATTTTCAGTGACCTTTGAGATACCCAAACAAATCCATTTAATTTTTTAAAAATATTTATCAATATATTTACATATGTGTTAAAATATAATACAGATTCCCGGCACATGGGGTGGGGAGGAAGGGGTGCACATGGGTCATTGCGCTAACAGCACCGCCAAGTAGGAGACCCACCTTAAAGAAAGGGGGTCAGGCCTAGGAGACTGAGGGGAATAACCTCTCTCCCAGGTCCCTCACAGTCTTGGCCCGACTACCCCAATAGCATGTTCCCTGTGGCCTTGTTTTGTCTTAAATGGAATATGGTTTCTTTACTCTGCATGACTTTTATGTTCAAGTGCCAAGAGTCATCACTGGCAACAGCCCTGACAAGGTTGTGGGAAATGGGTTGGAGGGGCCCATGGACTTCTCTTATTGAGTTAACTTTTTTTTTGTCTTCCACTCTAAACCACCTTTGCTGACCCGTTAAGTTTATTCCAAGTCTGTGTCTTCTTTGGGTTTGTAAACAGTCTCAAACTTCTGCATGTACTTTTTGATGTACTTCTTTGTTTTGTGTTTCACATTCTCATTGCACTCCAAATCTTCAGGGTTCTTATGGTATTTCTGCTCCTTGTTCATGACAGCGTGAGTCAGCTTGCAGGCTAGATGCTTGAAGTCTTCAGTTGTGGTTATCCTCCCCACTCTGCAGTCAGGTTTCTGATAAGGATTCAGGCACTGCACGATGAACTGGGACATCTCTTTCCTGAACACTTCTTTGCTCTTCTTGGCCAATTCACTTGAGATATCTGCTTCTGTGGTTTTGGGTTTTTTGGAAGACTTCATGGAGTTTTCATTGTAAGTTGGAGAGTTCCCATGTCCATTTCAGCCTCTTATTCAAGGTTAGCCTCATCTCCTGGGCTTTCCCAAGTAGGAAGATCCCACTGACATGTGATGACATGGTAATAGTAGACCTTTCCCTCTGGATCCCAGGCCATTTAATGTTTTGGAGTGATTATGTGCTATTATATTGCTACGTCATTCATATAGTCATTTGCTATATTAGTACTTCTAGTTTTAGCTGGTCATAGATGTAGGTAGGTTTTATTTATATGTTGTATCCAGAAACTGAGTGGAGTTAGATATTTTTGGGACAAGTTCAGATTTATTTCCAGATGATGCTGCACAATTATATCTGCCTCACATTCAGTTTGGGAAAATCTAGAAAATCATATACAACTATTTCAAAGGCAACATTGCAGTGAGAAAAGGCCAAAATAATCTCAAAGATTTATTTATTTCAAGAACTAGAAATTCATTGGAACTCTGTCCAATATAGGTTTGTTGTTGTTGGGCTTTTTTTTTTGGTTTGTTTTTGTTGAGGAGCTCAGGGTTAAGTCACTTGCCCAGAGTCACACAGCTAGTGAGTGTTATATGTCTGAGGCTGGAGTTGAACTCAGGTCCTCCTGACTCCAGAGCCAGTGCTCTATCCATTGCACCACCTAGCTGCCCTGTTTGTTATTTTTAAAGATATTGTGCTCACCAAGTCTAGGATTTTGAGGAACGAGAGACACAGCTTCAAAATCAATTGATCTAACTATAGGGTTTGTTGGAAGGATAAAAAATGCTGCTGTACATAATCACTCATGCAGCTAGAAAGCTTGCTGAGGGACCCAGTTAACCAAAGCCATTCTGGAGATGTTTAAAGATGAAATTGGAAAGAAAGAAGTATACAGATAAAAGTGGGAAAAGACCTATTCAGATTTTTCATCTCAGTTTGACGTTTGAGTCCTGGATGTGCCGCTTGTAGAGAAGGTACAGAAGAAAACAGAGATGGGAAAAGCAGATAGATCAAATATATGCGGAGGTGATATAATTTTGAGGGCTTTGGGGAGTTCAGTTCTCAAGGCATGTGAAAGAGGGGAAGATATCAAAAAAGTAGAAAAGAACAAACTCTTGTATCTTATTACCAGAGCATATCATTGCCTACTTTCTTATCTATAAATAAATTTTGTAAGAATAATCTACACGTGAATTAAGAGCATTCTTGAAGGTATGAAAAGGGAACAAGGAGGCTTTCATAGATTCTTTTTTATAGCAGGCTACATCTTGACCATCACAATTCACTGAAAGATGTAGGAACATCAAGATTCCACTGGGCTTTATTTGTTGCCTGTAAAAATATTTTGATTGAATAGAACAGAACACCACCTTAAAGGCATAGTAGAAAGAATTAGGGATTTGGAGTTAGTGTATCTGGTTCAGATACTGTCTCTGCTACCTAACTATATACCTTGGGCAAGTCACATTACGTCTCTGCACCTCAGTTTCCTCATCTTTAAAGTGAAGGACTAGATGGACTAGATGGCTTCTGAGGTCCCTTACAGTTGTACATCTCTAATCCAAATGATGCCAAAGGATCTCCCAAGATTCCTTTAAAGATGTAACGACAGAGACTACTCTGACCCTCTGATTATTAATACGAAGTGAGGCAGAAAACAGGTGTTCACTCTTGTCATAGGGGCTATTTGGCACTGACTCCAGATGATAGAAGGATTCTCTCTAACTGGTGAGACCTACCAAATGAATCTGTTTGCCTCTAATGCTGTCATGATTGCATCGAGCCCTGGGACGTTGCAGAGCCTCTTAAAGGAGATCCATAGTTTGGGAGGACAATCTCAAGAGATGGAGCAGCGAGGGAGAGAAATTTCTATTGTCAGTGGGTCGCTTGTCTGGAGTTGTCCTTTGCATGAAGGGGATATGTATAAGTTAGAAATTACTCCTGAGCTATACATGCAGTGTGTTAGGGAAATGAGTTCATTGCTGAAGTCCTGCAGAATATGTAATTATCCTATGTTAGTGTTTATTTTCTTTTTTGAATTTATTCTTGGTTTGTCATATGAATCACAGACTTAATGTTGGAGGCTGTCTTGGAGATAATGAAGTCCAGCTTTTGTCCTCCCTGTCTCCACATTTTATATAGCAGGAAACAGAGGTCCACAGAGGTAATGTGAGGTAATGTGACTTGTTTAAGATCACACAGGTTGTAAGTAGCAAAGCTAGCTGTCACTTAAACATAGCTTGTCAGATTGCAAATCCAGCATTCTTTGCTTTAGACCCATATGCCTGTCTAGGATATCTTCATAAATACTTTTCATGAACTTTTTTTTATAAGGAAACTTTAAATGTAGCCAATAGTATGAAAATATTGTGACTAACATTTACAACTTTGATCAGAATTCTTTGTTGTACAAGTATTTCTTTATCATTCTATGAAAAGTCAACAATAAACTAATACAGCAGAACAGATAACTTGTTTAGAAGTAAAGCATACAGAATGATGAACTGAATATTCTGGTTACTTACTGTTTTTCTCCTTGTATAAGACACAGATTTTAAAATAAAATCTGAAGTACAAAGGCTAACAAATTGTCATTTGCATATACTTTCTAACCCCTCTCATCTGCTAGTCTTCCTTATTGAAACCTAGCTCGAAAACAACTATTCCAGGTGACTTTCCTTGACTGAACATAGCTACATCTGTTTATTCCAGTATATAGATTTAGCATGCATATATTTATTATTCAGCTTATGTGATGTATTTTGGAAGATACATTATGTTGCATAATATTCTTCAGTTACTTCAATAGGTATATTCCTTCTCTTTTTCTTGAGGGCAGGTTTAATATTTTCTTTGCCCCGTTGTATCCATTTAGCAGTCTGGGACTGCATATAGCACAGATCCTGTTGAGTGAGCTAAAAATCTGATTCTTGTCTTTTACCTAGGGTCCTGTGTTGATTGGAAGCTCTCAAGGTGGTGTCAACATTGAGGATGTTGCAGCAGAGAATCCTGAAGCAATATTTAAAGAACCTATTGATATCATTGAAGGCATTAAAAAGGAACAAGCCACCAGGGTAAATTGCTTCAAGACTTTTTCTTAGTCCTGCAATTTGAGAACTTTTATAAATATTTTAAAAAATTTACACAAAGTAAAGTATGAGTAACACGGCTGTATGGTTTAGAAGTAGGACTCAAATCCAGTCTTTGTGACTTCAGCTCTAGTCCTTAATCTGTTGACTTTACTTTTCACTAATCTCATAGATTCAGAGCAGTTGTTTATTTGAGGTGTGATTATAAGACCTTGAGACTATTTTCATTTTGTCTGTTGAAGTTGAAGAGAATTGATCATTGCATGAATGTATCACAACACAAATCAACCTGTGATAGCAATATTTTGTACTGGCAGCTATAAAGTGTAGAAGTACATATTGTTTTGTGCCCATATAAAATGAGTGACCATTTAGTTAGAACAAAAGATTAATGTCAAATGTTGTAGGAAATTAAATATGCAATTGATTCTTGACCTATGAGAAGAAACTCACTGGGGATGAAATACTGTTGAGAGCTAGAATTTCTGATTTTCATAAAAGGTTACAAGATGGTAGGAGTAATAACCATGACAGTGAACAAAGTAGTTATTAAATTCCATGTATCACTAATGAAAATGTTCAAATAATTCCAGGAGTTTATTTTCAAAAGTGAAATACCTATGGCATTTTAGGCTTTTTATTCAAATAAAAGACAAGCTGCCAGAATTATGGCTGATATTAATAGTTAAATTTAGTTAAAAGAATAGACTGAAGAGAAACCTTCACATATTCTGTGAATATTGTGCCACCCTTGGGAGTGATGATATTGAATAATGAAGACTTGACATTTCTTCTGATATTTAAACGAAAGCTCCATGTGTTATTCTATATTTTTGAAGAAATTAGGTAGCAGGTGATGAAACATGGTACTTCCTTTGTGTCCTAGGACAAAATTCAGAGTCAACAGTAGAAAATAGAAACCTGAAATCCAAGAAACTGTGATTCAGAATCACAGGTCAATAAAATACTTTGCATTTGCATAGTGCTGTGCACTTGTAGAGTTCTTTCATATATTTTCTCATTTAATACAATAGCCTCTTTTGAAAATAGATTTCTATTGATTTCTTTTGTTTTCACATCACCTAGATTTCCCTTTTCCTTCTCATTTCCCTCTCCATCCTTTATAACAAAAAAATTTTTTAAGAATGAAAGCAAAAGAGGAAGGAAGAAAAAAGTTCAGTAAAACTCATGAACATATTGAACAAGTCTAACATGATATGCAGTGATTTAGACCCCTATTTATGCAAAGGAATGGGGAGAGGTTTCTTTTCAAATCTGTACTTTGGTGCCAAGCTTGTATGATAGCCACTTCAGGAAAGCAGGACAGATGTTATTTTCCTCAGTTTGCAGATGAAGAAATAGAGGCACAAAGAGGCTATAACTGACCTGAGGACAAATGGGTGGTAAATACCAGTTCTTGGGCCCAGGTTATTTGTACTCCAGTACTTTTTGCACCACATCACCCTGCGGCGTCACTTGACTATTATTGGGATGTGGAAGTCACAGACTAGAATGGGATTGGGATTCCTGTCTGTGGAAAGTGCTGTCATTATCATGGAGATTTGAAACATGGGAGAGAAAAATCATTGCCATGAGATGTTTTCTAATAGTTTATAGACGATGAATAGATTGAGTGGGGTCAGAAATAGAAATTGTAAAATGGAGGCAGGTCATAGTAATTTTCAAGTATAATGTTCAGAGGATATCTGTTCACTGGACTCCTCCTTTCTGTTTGCTTTATTAAATATTTAGCATCCTTTATTGGTGATGAGGCACCACACTCTTTCCCTCAGACTGTTTTGTTGTGGATTGCTAACAAATTTCTTTGGCATCATTGTCATTGTCATTGTCATTGTCATTGTTCTTATAGACCTCAACCTGAGAGTTCAAACAATCTCAGACCTATAATGTAACAATTCAGGAGCATTTGAGAGAAAAAAGGAGTAAACTGTGGCCCAGTGGTTGGCATATAGTGTACTTTCTGAGAAATAGATTTTGACCTATTACCCAGATTGATTAATACCAGATTTGATTACAAATAACTTTTTGCTGTTTTCAAGAATATCCATCCTCAAATGATAAAGATTTGCTACTTTTTGAAAATATTTAAAAACATGTGCTACAGTCTCTGTAGAATAAGTGTATAGCTTCCCAAGGTAACTACTTTGAAGGGGACAAAACTCATATTTGTTTGTGTGTGTGTGTGTGTGTGTAGCATATTTGTTGTAAGAATCTCATTTTTTTTTCCATTACACTCCACAAAATGTCAGAATCCAAACAACTTTAAAGGAAAAGGTGGTTTTCATAACTTTGCTATTTTTTGGAGAATAGGCATAGCAACTTAAATGTATGTAATGTGGTTATTAGTTTATGTGACATAGCTATTAATAAAACTTAAACCTTGAAATTCTAGTCATGGCTAGATTGTGCTTTAAATGAGGAATAAGGGTAAAAGGTTTCTCTGCAGATAATTAGCCTTTAGTGATTCTGCTAAATGTAATTTGAGTCCTCATTTGCTTTCCAGGATTTTCCATGACTTAATTTTAAGTTTCATTTAAACATTAAGTCTGAGTTCTACATTGATATGTTTACTAAGAGAATCTTGAAAAGGAAATCATTTATTACTGTTAGGGGTGGGTAATATGATAGTTTCAGCTGTTCATTGATTCTGCATCGAACTATAGAGTCACAGAATGTTAGAGCCTAAAGGATGGTGGAGATCAGTCTACTGACATTCAGTCTTTGTGATACGTCACAAAATATAATTCTAGCTCATGTCTATTATATTCTTAAGTAAATTGCCTTAATGATTATTTTGGAATATCATTTAAGAGTCTGATTTTATAACAGATTGGATTATCCTTTTATGTGCAAATTGAAGTTTCTTTTTTTCAGAGTGTCCTAAAGTATCTTTCCTTTCACTAACATTTCCATATTCTCATAATTTAGAGGTGGTGGAGGCCTTAGAGATTTAGTCCAGCCACTTCCATTTTACAGTTGAGGAAACCAAGGGACAGAGAAGTGAAGTGATTTGCCTATAGTCAAACAGTAGTACAGCCCAGAGTTGGACTCAGGTCCTCTAACTGTAAAGCCAGCACTCCTTCCACTCTGCTGTAATTACTCTCTCACTCACTTAAATACTTTGACCAGAATTCTTTTGTAATTCAGAAACTTTAAAAATACCTTAAATTTTTTACGCTAAATTTGTACCACTGCAAAATAACTTTCTACTGTTAAAATGTATTGACTATATGTTAACAAATTAGAAAAAAAAACTTGTGCTATGTGTTGATTCAGCTTGCACGGAATATGGGATTTCCTTCAAGTCTTGTGGATTCAGCAGCAGAGAACATGATCAAGTTGTATGAACTCTTTTTGAAATATGATGCAACCATGGTAGAAATAAATCCAATGGTAGAAGATGCTGATGGAGGTGGTAAAGTATCATCTTTTATCATTAAAAGTATTTGTTAAGTGTTATCTTTATATATGCACACACACACACACACATATCTAACATTACACTCAGTAACTTAAATTAAGTATTCTTAACTTTAGACTCATAATTTTAAAGCAGAGTAATGACACAGAAAGAAATATTAAGGCTATTTATTAAAACAAATACTTCAAGTACAGGCATGGGGGATAGTGCACATGTTGAGAGTGAGTAAAATAGAAGTTAGATATTAGAGGGAATTATGACCATTTGTTAATACTGATTTTGAAGAAAGCTTGTGATTTTGAACTTGTTATTACTAATCTTTTGGATTAAAATGCTAACATAATTATGAGGGCATTAGTATATGAGTTTGATACTTGTCTCACAGGGCACTGGTCATGGTTTTACAAAGTGTTGAACAAGGTAGAGACGGTATTATTTGTGTGTATTTATGTGGTCTTTTGAGTTCTCTTAAGACTTTATCCATCCTAGTATAATACCATATACCTAATATGGTAGAGATAGGAATTGGACCTGTGATTTCATTGTTGCAGGCAACTCCAAGAAAAGGACATTCCGTCTCCTAATGCAGTTTGGCACCTTCTCTGCAATTATAATTTTAAAGGGTTGCTTTTGGGAGTGAGAAGTTAATTATGTGACCCTTTTTTCTAAGAGTTACACAGCCAATAGGTGTCAGAAGTGGGATTTGAACCTAGATCTTCCTGGTTTGGACTGTCTGTGCTACTGCTTCTCACTATGCATATTAGGCTTCAAAAAATAACGACAATGATGAAATAGAAGAAAAAGGATAAAGATTTTTGTTTTTTGGGTTTTTGTGGTTTGCTTTCACATTTTTCTATGGAAATGGAAGCTATATTTAAGGTTGCTTACTTCTCTCTAGACTTTTTGAATAGGTTTCAAATTCGCCACTTTGGCCTTATTAATATACTTACAACTGCGCAAGTGAATTCATTTTTACTGTCTTTATTTTCTCTAAAGTCTCTTGTTTGTTGTTGTTCAGTCGTTCAGTTGTGTCTGACTCTTTGTGATCCCATGGACCATAGTGCGCCAGGTTGTTCTGTCCTTCACTATCCCTTGAAGTTTATCCAAGTTCATGTCCATTGTTTCCGTCATACTATCCATCTTTCTTCTCCCATCCTCCTTTCCTTTTGATTTCAGTCTTTTTCACCATCAGGTTCTTTTCCAGTGAGTCCTGTCTTCTCATTATGTGGCCAGAGTATTTAAGCTTCACCTGTGATATTTGACTTTCCAGTGAATAGCCTGAATTAATTTCTTTAAGTATTGACTGATTTGATCTCCTTCTTGTCCAAGGGACTCTCAAAAGTCTTATCTAGTACCACACTTTTTTTCATCTCTTATCTATCTATCTATCTATCTATCTATCTATCTATCTATCTATCTATCTATCTATCTATCTGTCTGTCTGTCTGTCTGTCTGTCTGTCTGTCTGTCTGTCTGTCTGTCTGTCTGTCTATCTATCTATTTTAGGAAGTTGGGGTTAAGTGATTTGCCCAAGGGTCACACAGCTAGTAAGTGTCAAGTGTTTGATCTGAAGCCAGATTTGAATTTGGGTCTTCCTGACTTCAGGACCAATGCTCTATCCACTGCACCACCCAGCTGCCTCCCAGTACCACATTTTGAAAGTGTCAGTTCTGTAGTGCTCAGTTTTCCTTATGGTCCAACTCTCACAGTGATACATTGCTATTGGAAAAACCATAGTTTTGACTATATGGACCTTTGTCGGCAAAGTGATGTCTCTGCTTTTTAGTGTGCTATCCAGATTTGCTGTAGCTTTCTTTCCAAGGAGCAAGAGTCTTTTAATTTTATGGCTGCAGTCATTGTCTGCAGTAATATTTGAATCCAAGAACATAAAATTTGACACTGCTTCAATTTCTTATCCCTCTATTTGCCAGGAAGTAATGGGACCAGTTGCCAAGATCTTAATTTTTTTGATGTTAAGCTTCAAATCAGATTTTACACTTTTCTGTCACCCTCATCAAAAGACTTCTTAATTCCTGTTCACTTTCTGCCATTGGAGTGGTATCATCTACATGTCTGAGAAGGTTGATATTTCTCCTAGCAACCTTAATTCCAGCTTTTGGTTCACCCAGGCTGGCATTTCACATGATGTACTGTGCATATAAGTTAAATAGATAAGGTGACAAAATACAGCCTGATTGTGTTCCTTTCCCAATCTTAAACCAAACAGTTGTTCCATGTTTGGTTCTAACTGTTACTTCTTGGCCCACATGCAGGTTCCTGAGGAGACAAGATGATCTGGTAATCCCATCTTGTTAAAGTCTTACCAACATTTTATTGTGATCCATAAGCAGAAGTAGATATTTTTCTGGAACTTCCTTGTTTTCTCCATAATCTAGCAAATGTTGGCAGTTTGGTCCCCCTGCCTCTTTGAAAACCAACCTGTTCTTCTGGTAATTCTCAATTCACATGTTACTGAAGCCTAGCTTACAGAATCTTAAGCATAACCTTGCTGGCATGTGCAATGAGTACAATTGTTAAATAATTTGAACATTTTTTGTCATTGCCCTTCCTTAGCATTGGGATATAAACTAATTTTCCAATCTAGTGGCCTCTGTTGTGTTTTTCAAATTTGCTGGCATATTGAGTACTGTGCTTTTACAGCATTGTCTTTTAGGGTTTTAAATAGTTTAGCTGGACTTCTGTCACTTCGGGGTAGCTAAGTAGCACAATGGATAGAACACTGGCTCTGGAATCAGGAGGACCTGAGTGCAAATGCCTCAGACACATAAGTCTCACTAGCCTTGTGACTCTGGGCAAGTCACTTAACCTCAGTTGTCTCACTTAGAAAAAAAAAAAGGAATTCCATCACCTCCATTTGCCTTGTTGCTAGGCATACTTCTTCCTAAGGCCCACTTGACTTGAACCTGCTGCCTTGAGGCCACAGGTTCCCCACCTCTGCTTTGGGATACCTGGCTCTAGATCAGTAAAAAGCAGTTGTGTTTATCATCGATGTGAAGATCTTTGTTGTATAGTTCTTTTATGTATTATTACTACCTCTTTTTAATCTTTGATGCTCCTGTTTCATCCCTACCATTTTTGTCTTTTATCATGCCCATTTTTGCATGAAATATTCTCTTCATATCTCCAGTTTTCTTGAAGAGATCTCTTGTCTTTCTCATTCTGTTGAGTTGGGATGGGTTTGTGAAGTGGAGCCAATGGCAGACTTAACTCCTAGGGATGTTGCCTAAAAAGAAGCTTAGTTTGTCAGTCCTTGACCGTAACTCTATCAATAAGGATAAAATTGAAGTCTGTGTTGTTAGTAAAGTATTGAGAGGAGATACCTTTTCCTAACTGAAGAATATTTGATCATATAGAACAGGAATGTTGTTGGAAATTATTTGTCTTTGACTCGAAGTTAAGATCACATTTTCATTATTCTTTCTTTTAAGTGCTGTGTATGGATGCGAAGATCAATTTTGATTCTAACTCATGTTATCGTCAAAAGAAAATCTTTGACCTGCAAGACTGGACTCAGGAAGATGAAAGAGACAAAGAAGCAGCTAAGGCAGATCTTAACTATATAGGCTTAGATGGAAACATTGGGTGTTTAGGTACTGTACCTATGTTGTATCTGATTGGCTAATATATAATTTTTGTTTAAATGACTTGTAAAACTGTCCTTTCCTCCTACCTTTAACAGTAAATGGTGCTGGTTTGGCTATGGCCACAATGGATATAATAAAACTTCATGGTGGCACTCCAGCCAATTTTCTTGATGTTGGAGGTGGTGCTACAGTTGATCAAGTGACACAAGCATTTAAACTTATAACTTCAGATAAAAAGGTAAGAATAGGACCGTGTTTCATAATTTAAATAGTGGAATCAAAGACTGATTTTTTTTTCTTAGCTAATATAATTAAACTAATTTAAATTTTGGCAAAATTTGGAATCTTGACTTTTTTTCTTGAAGGAAAAATTAATCCTGGAAAATGAGACTATTCTCATTTTGAAACACCTCTCTCCTTTTCCCAGTAGCATATTAAAAGTAATAGTGCATGATTTTTCTTTGTTAGTGTTTGTTACATTTGAAAAAGAAAAAGGTGTACTTTGACTTTGTAGAACATGTCATAAGCTATTAGAAAAAAGAAAAATTGAAAGGCCTTTAGGAAAGAATTAATTTAAGGGACCATAAAATGTTTTGTGGTTCGTCCTTTTGTCTTCAGTCAGGACCATTTTAGAAAGTAAATAATCTTACATTTATTGTTTGTTTGGGAGGTAATAATGGGGGAGAGAAAGGTCTAAGAAAGCTACTCCTACCAAAAATATAATTCTTCTAAAAGCAGTGCATCTGATAAACACTTGCCTTGCTGGCAGTTACTTAGAGAAAGTTCAAGAAGCAACAAGGAGGACTGATATTTAGTTCTGGAGATGTAATTCTAACAAGTTTTGTGATGTTCTTCTAACTTTGGGAGAAAGTGACTGTGTCATATTGGAATCCCTAATAGGAAATGAAGAGAATCATAGACTGAGTCTCTAGACATCAAGATAACATTGCAAAAAAAAAAATTGAGGAATAGGTAGATATAGGCAGATGAGCAGAGACTTTGAAGTGGAATATGGCTCACGGGAGATGGAAAATGCTTAAAAAATTCTAAGTGGATAGTTGAAGATAACTCCAAAGAAATGGGAAAAGCACAGGCATCTTTTGTTAAACACTTATTAATAAATTATTAAACCAATGAACATAGTTAGACAGTGAGGTCACTGATGATTTGTTTTTAAAAGAAGTATTAAAAAGGTGGAAGAAAGGACTCAAGGAAAATTCAAAAGAATGCAGTGAACCTACTATCAAAATGAACTTAGACTACTAAAATTTTTATTAAGCTATACTTGGAGCAAGAAGGTCAGAAACAGACTCAATCTTGTGAAGATGATGTATCATTAAGAGGTAACAGTTGGCAGAAGTATTTGACTTGTTTTGCTTTTGTCTTTTCAGAGGAGAATGATGTTCAAACTGGAAAGATTAGCACCAACATCATTATTATAGGCCAGTGATTTTGACTTTGATTCCTGGTAAAATTCTAGAACCCATTATTAAAGGGATGGTTAGTGTGTACCTAGAAAAGGAATAGTGATCCCAAAAAACCAGCATGGCTTTATGAAGGTCAGGTTACATCAGACTAGTCTCATTACCCTTTTTTGACAGGGTTACTAACTAGATGGATAGCTCAAGGGAGCGGTGTAGTTATTCTTATGGATAAGATGGAGAGATGTGAGTTGAATGATAGTAGACTTAGATTTAAAAAGTAGTTATCAACAGGTTAGTGTCAAGATAGATAGGAGGACCCCAAGGATCTGTCCTTGATTGCATGTTGTTAAACTTTTTTTAAAAATGACTTGGATAATGGCTTATGTGACATGCTTGTCAAAATTGCAAATGACACAAAGCTCTGAGGGATAGCTAAAGTTTAAATGATAAATTTAGGAACCTTTTGAGGTATTTGTTAAGAATGTTCCCAAGTAAAGAAATCTCTTCAATTTGAGCAAAGACCTGTTAGTTTGTTACTGTGGAGAACTGTATGGGAATGCAAATCATCCAACTAGCTTCCTCTATGACTTAGTAGATAAATCTTGGGGAATTATCAGATGCACACAGGTGAAGTGACTTTTCTAGAGTCATCAACTAAGTCATCAACTAAGAATTTGGGAGGCGGAGCCAAGATGGCAGAGTCAAAGCTATGACTTGCTTGAGCTCTCCTCCAAACCCTTCCAGATACTCATAAAAAATGGCTCTAAACCAATTCTGAAGCAGCAGAACCCACAAAAAGACAGTGAAACAAATATCCAGCCCAAGACAACCTGGATGATTGATAAGAAAGGTGTATCGTGCTGGGCTGGGAGTGCAGTGCAGTGTGGTGTGGGTGCACAGGCCGCAGCGTGGGTGCGCAGTCTGCAGCAAACCTGGAGCAGGCCTCAGAGGACTGAATCTCGGGCAGCTGTGGAGGTTTCCAGACTCCTCAATCCACCAATGCCAAAGACAAATTAGAAGGTCAGTGGGAAAAGTCTGTTTCTGTTGGTGCCTGAGAAAGGAAGGAGGGGTTTCAGCTCCATTCCCCAAGAGCGTGGCCCTGTGTGGGGGGCAACTGCTTCTCGAGCTTCCAGCCCACAGACTGAGGGGCAATCCAGTGGCTGATCAGAGAGGGATTGCAGGGATCTCTTTGCCAGTGCTGAGGCAGGAATCTCTTGCTTTGCCCGTGTTTGGGTCTGGGCCACAGTTCTGGGCAGTGGTGCTGGGGTGAGGAGGAGCACTGGTGTGGTGGAGCTTGTAGTGGTTGTGGAGAGGAGCCCCTCCTCACAGTTACAGGACAGAAAGGAGTACTTGTAGTCTCAGGCCAGGAAAGGAGTAAAAACCTCGCCCCTTATCATACCACCTTGGAAGAACTGAAAATTTACAGGTCCCTACAAGTAACTCTGAAAACAGCTGTACAAACCCCTGAAGCTTGGGACAGTACTTTCTCCACATTGGAAGCATATTCGTACCTTAACAAAGAGTTTAAAACTCAAGTAATTGGCTGGGATCATGAGCGAGCAGCTCAAAAAGAGTCAGACTATATTATCTTACTTTGGTGAAAAAGAAGACCAAAATATACAACCAGAAGAAGACAACAAAGTCAAAGCCCTTACATCCAAAGCCTCCAAGAAAAATACGAATTGGTCCCAGGCCATGGAAGAGCTCAAAAACGATTTTGAGAAGCAAGTTAGAGAAGTAGAGGAAAAACTGAGAGTGATGCTAAAGGAGACCCAAAAAAATACTGAAGAAAATAACACCTTAAAAAATAGCCTAACCCAAATGGCAAAAGAGGTCCAAAAAGCCAATGAGGAGAAATGCCCTAAAAAGCAAAATTGGCCAGATGGAAAAGGAAGTCCAAAAGCTTACTGAAGAAAATACTTCCTTAAAAATTAGAATAGAGCAATTGGAAGATAGTGACTTCATGAGAAATCAAGACACAGTAGGACAAATCCAAAAGAATGAAAAATTAGAAAACAATGTGAAATATCTCATTGGAAAAACAACTGACCTGGAAAATAGATCCAGGAGAGAGAATTTAAAAATTATTGGACTATCTGAAAGCCATGATCAAAAAAAGAGCCTAGACATCATCTTTCAAGAAATTATCAAGGAAAACTGCCCTGATATAGTAGAACCAGAGGGCAAAATAGAAATTGAAAGAATCCACAGATCTCCTCCTGAAAGAGATCCCCAAAGGAAAACTCCTAGGAATATTGTAGCCAAATTCCAGAGTTCCCAGGTCAAGGAGAAAATATTACAAGCTGCCAGAAGGAAACAGTTCAAGTACTGTGGAAACACAATCAGGATAACACAAGATTTAGCAGCTTCTACATTAAAGGACTGCAGGGCATGGAATATAATATTCCAGGGCAAAGGAGATAGGATTACAACCAAGAATCACCTACCCAGCAAAACTGAGTATAATCCTTCAGGGGAAAAAATGGTCATTCAGTGAAATAGAGGACTTTCAAGCATTCTTGATGAAAAGACCAGAGCTGAATAGAAAATTTGACTTTCAAATACAGGACTCAAGTGGAACATGAAGAGGTAAACAGGAAAGAGAAATCATAAGAGACTTATTAAGATTGAACTGTTTACATTCCTGCATGGAAAGATGATATTTATAACTCATGAGACCTTTGTCAGTATCAGGGTAGTTGGAGGAAAAAAATTATATGTATGTATGTAGATAGATAGAGGGCACAGGGTGAGCTGAAGATTAAGGGGTCATATCTGGAGAATAAAATTAAGGGATGAGAGAGGATTATACTCAGAGAAGAAGAAAGGGAGAGGTAGAATGGGGTAAATTATCTCACAAAAAAAAACCAAAAAGTCTCTTACAGTGGAGGGGAAACAGGGGAAGGTGAGAGGGAATGAGTGAATCTTATTCTCATAGGATTTGGCTTAAGGAGGGAATAACATACACATTCAATTGGGTATGGAAATCTGTCTTACCCTACAGGAAAATAGGGGGAGAAGGGGACAAGAGAGCAGGGGGATGATAGAGAGGAGGGCAGATTGGGAAAGGGGTTAATCAGAAGTAAATACTTCTGAGGAGATACAGGGTGAAAAGAAAGAATAGAATAAATGGGAGGGCAGGATATGATTAAGGGAAATGGAGTTAGTTTTTCACAACATGTCTACCATGGACGTGTTTTACATAACTGCACATGTACGACTTATATTGAGTTGCTTGCCTTTTCAGTGAGGGTGGTGGGGGAGGAAGAGAGAAAATTTAAAACCTAAAGTTTTAAAAACATGTTTAAAAAAAAATGTTTTCACATGCTACTGGGAAATAAATATAGGAAGTGGGGTACATAAGTCTATCCTATCCTGCCCTACAGGAAAATAGAAAGGGAAGGGGATAAGAGAAGGGGAGAGAGATAGAAGAGAGGGCAGACTAGGGGAAGAGGTATTCTGAATGCATGCCATCTTGGGGTGGGGGGAGGGATGAGATGGGGAAAATTTGGAACTCAAAATCTTGTGGAAGTAAATGTTGAAAACTAAAAATAAATAAATTTATATATATAAAAAAAAGAATTTGAACCCAGGTTCTACCATATACTACACTACTTCTCTTGAGAACAGGATACATTGCGCCCCCATGAAAAGAATTGAAATGAGTGATGTATACAAAACAATGCAAAGTTGAAAAAAGTAGAACTACAATCCATAAATATACATTCATTAAAATTTAGACTATACACATACTTCATTTTCAGTGTATCCTGTATATGAATGCACAGTCATAAGGACTGGAGTAGGTTATAATGTTATTTATAAATTGCAATTGGGGTGTGTGTGTGTGTGTGTTTGTATTTTTCATTGTAAAGTTGGTTAAACACAATTTTGTGGGTGACATTGGCTATTATGTTATATCATAGCTAGGTGGTACAGTGGATAGTATTGGACTTGGAGTCAGGAATACCTGAGTTTGATCCTCTGCCAGTCACTTAATTCACAAGTTGTGAAAATCAAATAAGATAACATATATAAAGTAGTTTGCAAACCTTCAAGTGCTATAGAAAATGCTACCTATCATTATTATTTTTGTTGTTAGTAGACAAAATTTGGATTCCAAATACTATCTATGATTCTATTTGATGGGGCATCTGAGTAGACCTTTAAGCCAATAAAGGCCAATTTAAGACCTTTAAAGGCCAGTTGTCTGTTTTTTCTGCTAAGTAGCCTGTTGTAAAGGACAGGGCATTGGATTTTGAGTCAGAAGATCTAGGTTCAGATCTTAGATCTACCACTTTACTCTTTGGTATCCGTGGTCAAATCAAGTCAAGCATTTATTAAGCACCTGGCCTACTGTATGCCAGGCTCTTGGTAGGTCACTTATACAGACTTCTCAGGGCCTATATAATAACATAATTAACAAAAAACCATTGATAAACTTGGGTGTGGCCTAACGGTTCTCTTGCAGGGTTGGTATGCTGTAGGTACTAGATTATGGGTGTTGTTTAAATGTCTGTTAACAATGCATTTGTATTTTATACAATTTCACCTTATCATTTGGCTTTATTGTTGGCACAGTTGGCTTACCACTCTGGCTGGGTATGTGTAAGTATTTCAAATGATACATTATCTTTTTTCCAGGGATCTAACTAGTTTCAGTTTTAACTGGCCTTTTTTTATGAGTGGTTGTTAAGTCATTTCAGTCTCTTGGTAACCTCTTTTCCAAGCTCATTTTACAGAGGAAGAACTGAGGCAAACAGAGTTAAGTGACTCCATGATCACATAGCTAGTAAGTGTCTGAGGCCAGACTTAAATTCAGAAAGACAAGTCTTCCTAACTCCAGGCCCAGAATTCTATCTACTGTGCTACCTAGCTGCCCTTTTTCATGGGTACCTTGTAGCAGAGGAGTTTGTTTTATATTAATGACCATATTTGTTCTTTATTTTGCCATACCAGTAGCTATTTTTATTATTAAATACAGTATTGTGAATATTGGACTCATCTCAGATCATCACTGGATTTTACTATGTTGTTTTAGATCAGAGAAGAAATTCAATTATATTGAAGTAAATTCCTTTTTTGATTAAGGAAAAATAGGTTTACTACAAAATGTCTTACTAATTCAACTTGACCTTGCTTAGCACATAAAAATATTCCTGAAACGTTATGTGTAAATCAAGTATGTTCATGTCAAATCATAAATACCTGTTTGATTTTCCTTATAATTTTAGAAACTTGTTTCCATGGGGGAAAAGGGCACCAGGGTATAAATGTTAGGATTCTTAAATGTGATTTTTTTTGTTTGAAGTACTGTATTCAGTTTAGGGTACCACATATTAGGAAACATGTAATCTAGTTGGAGGATATCCTGAGGAGGGCAACTAGAATGGTGAGAAGGTGAAATCATAATATGCTATATGAGGATTGATTGAAAGAATTGCGAAAGTTTAGCTCATAGGGTATCATCAGAGCAGCTAGGTGATACAGTGGATAGAGTACCAGGCCTGGAGTCAGGAAGCCTGGGTTCAAATTTGGACTCAGACATTTACTAGCTGTATGACCTTAGGCAAGTCATGTAACCCTCTTTGCCTCAGTTCATCATCTGTAAAATGAGCTGGAGAAAGAAATGGCAAGCCATTCCAGTATCTTTGCCAAGAAAAACCCAAATGGAATCACAAAGAGTTAAACATGACTGAAAAATGAATGAACAACAATAATCATGACAGAAGTACATGAGGAGCATACATGAGGAGCAGTCATGGTAGATTTGTTCTGCTTAGATTCAGAAGGCAAGAGTAGAGTGGGGGCTAGAAATTACAGAGAGAAAGGAGAAGCATGCAAAAGTATATTCTACTGTGGTTAGATTATATCTAGAATCTTGTTTTGTTTTGGGTCTCAGTTTTAGAACACATGTCCAGAGGATGAGTAGGATGGTGTGAAAACAAGAGGAACAAATGCCATACATGTTATAGGAGCATAGATTCAGAGCTGGAAGATCTCTTAGGAGTCATAGGATCATAGGTTTAGACCTGAAAGGTCTCTTAGCTGTCTAGTTCAACCCCCTTCTTTAATAAATGATGATACGGAGGGCCAGAGAGGTGTAAGTGACTTGACAGGTAATAAGTGGCAAATCTGGGACTGGAGCTTAAATTCTCTGACTGCATGTCCTATAGGCTTTCTGCTATATCACAGGAACTCGCAAAGATCAGTTGAAAGAACTTGAGATTAGTCTGGAAAAGAGATACTTGGCTGAGGATGGGAATGGGGAGGATAAGACAGAAAATGACTGCTTTCAAGTATTTGAAGGGTAGAGGAGGCATTACCCTTGTCTTGCAGTTCCTTAAGAGGCAGAACTGGTACCATCGTGTAGAAATTACAAAGAGAACTATTCCCCAAGGAATGGATTGCCTAAGGAGTGAATTTCTCATAGTCTAGTGGTAGGTTGGTGGTTCAGTGTATGGAGCGTCTGGCCTGGAGTCAGGGAGAATTGAGTTCAAACCCAGCCTCACACATTAGCTGTGTGCCCTAGGGCAAGTCACTTCACCTCTGTCTGCCTCAGTTTTCTCTCTTATAAAATAGAAATAATAGTAGCATTTACCTCATAGAAAGGTTGTGAGATAATATTTTTAAAGCACTTAGCACAGGGCCTGTGTTTAAGCATATTTGACACTTAAAAATGCTTATTCCATTAAGCAAATGCTAGATGTCCATTTTTATTAGGGTTCTTGTTTGGGTTGGACTAGATGATCTGAGAGATCTCCGCAAGTCTGTGTTTTAGAAAGGGTTATGTACCAATATGTTTCAAATGGTGAAAAGTATAGAGAGGATGTCAGTTTGGTCTATAAGTGGTAATGGGAAACAAATTAGGAAACAAAGTGGGAAATAACTTTTAAGGCAGTAAATTAATGAATAAAAGAACAATTATTAAGCATTATGTACCAGGCACTGTGTTCAGTACAAAAAATACAAATGCAAAGTTGAGATTGTCTCTGTTCTTCAGGTGCTTATGTCTTAACAGGAGGAGATAGCATCTAGGGGAGTGGTGGCTGGGGAGAGCTGTTTTGGTTAGAAATATCATAGAGATGGCAATGGAACCAAAGTGGAGTTGATTAGCAGCTTCAGTATTGATTTGATTATCGTTACAGAATTGGAAAGCCAAAGGGTAAGGAGGGGACATTAGCAAGGCAAGAAGATTGACTGGGGTGCAATGTGAAACAGAGTTGGAGTTAGCTGGGGTCATACATAGTAGACCATGTGATGCACTCACAATTCAGGACCCTCTGGATTCCTGCTTGGATGGGAGTTCAGAAGCTGAAAGGGTTAAGTTATGGTCTCTGATCCAGACAGTCCAGAAAAAGGATGCATGTCAAGATCCAGTAGTCTGGAGGGTGTGGTGGCAAGGCAGGGTGAATGTCAGAAAGATGGGAATAGAATGTAAAGCTAGTCTAAGACTGACCAGATGTAGTGGGGTCTGTGACACACTCACCAGTCCAGGAAAGTGCAGGTTGAATAAAGCTCACTTTTTTTGTAATTTAATCTACCAAATATACTTTATTTACAGGTACTGGCTATTCTAGTTAATATTTTTGGAGGAATCATGCGGTGTGATGTTATTGCACAGGGTATAGTCATGGCAGTAAAGGATTTGGAAATTAAAATACCTATCGTGGTACGGTTACAAGGTGAGTATTCAAGAAATTTTAAATTACATGATCTATAATCCCTTGAAAATCATTATCCTAGATAGCTTAGCATATTGAAGACTGTAGGTGCTTTTAAGTGTGAGTTTGTTATGAAACAACATTATATATAAATATAAATGTGTAGAATTCATGAAATTTCTAGCATTTAGGGGCAAATTAGTCACATCTTATTTCACAATGTCATTTTATAGATCCCTTAATTTTTATGAAATTTGTGAATTCATATCTTGATTTTATTGTCATAACATAGAGTTAAGGCTTTTGAGATGTCTCATTTGATTATAAACTTTTAGATTACCTGAACATACTATGTCTTGGCTCAAAAGTTTTGCTTGTAGAGTGTATGGTGACAGGAATTCTAAATATTTATATGACGTTTTAATACATTTTTATATGTGATTCTTCCCCAGGTACACGAGTTGATGATGCTAAAGCATTGATAACAGATAGTGGACTTAAAATTCTTGCTTGTGATGACTTGGATGAAGCTGCTAAAATGGTAAGCAGATGTTATTATCTAAGAGTTAAAAAGTATGTCAAAATTTTGTAAAAGCTTTGTCTCTTTATATGTTGTGGAAAACACTGGAAAAAAAAAGAAAAAAAATTAGGGCAGCTAGGTGGCATAGCGGATAGAGCACCGGCCCTGGAGGCAGGAGAACCTGAGTTCAAATACGGTCTCAGACCAGACACTTGATACTTACTAGCTATGTGACCCTGGGCAAGTCACTTAACCCCAGTTGTCTCATATAAAAAAAAAAGAAAAAGAAAACACTGGTAATTCTTTTACAAAAACAATTCTTAATTGAATTTCCAAAAAAAAAATTGGCACAGTATTAAATTCAATATTCATTAGTGACATAAGATAAATATTGATAATTTAGTGACTGTTAGGGTTAATGGCTTCTAGTAAGGTAGACATTGTTTGATTTGGAGTGGTTATGAACTCAGAATGCTTATTTTTCTTGCTTTTTTTTTCTTTCAAAAAAAGTCAAAACAATAGAAAGATTATAGAGATGACAATGGAACTGAAGCAAGGTTGATTAGCAAATCTTTGATGGTAGTGCCAGTATTGATTTGATTATGGTTACAGAGTTGGAAAGCCAAAGGGAAGGGAGGGGCATTAGCAAGGCAAGAAGATTGTATTTGTAGTAACAGAAAGTTTGTACAAATTGTTTGTAGGACCATCCTGGTTCTGTGGCAGGTAAATAAAGGGTTCTGGAGAAAATTATGATATTTTCCCTTTCAGATTTTTAATATACAACATCACACAAACACAAATGTGTATTATGTATGATAGTTTTTTGGTATGAAAGTAGGCTTACTTTCTTCTTTTGCCTCAATTTTCCCCAACATTGTTTATTCTTGTATTCCATGGAGAGGCAGTGCAACATAGTGTGATCTTTAACAGGTCACTTAACTTTTATATGAGTCAGGTAACTCCCTGTAATTTATCTGCTAACTCATAGATGGATTGAAATTTGCTTTGATGGAAGGCATTCTCACACTGATGAAATCCAATGCTTAGCCCAGCTCCTGGCACATAATAGGCACTTAGTAGTAAATGTTTATTGATTGATTTGTTAAGATTATGGCATATTTCATTCCTTTAGATTCCCCCAGATGAATATTTATATATTCTTTTGATAAATTTTAAGTGTGATGTGGCCAAATTAGGTTGAGAAATCTTGAGCTGGAAGATTTATGTTTTTTAATTGACTTTAAAAATCAACATTTTTAGATATAAGATACAACCATGATATAACAACCATTTAGCTGTAAGTTAGAAGCCTTTTTGGGTGTTGGGGCATATTCTATCCTAATTGTATAGCATGGTACTGTAGCTAGCGGCTAGAGGGTCTTATAGTCAGAAAGACTTGCGTTCAAGTTCTTCCTGTGATACATATTGGCTGTGTGACCTAGCACCAGTCACCCTCTCAGTGGTCTAGGGCAGTGGTGTCAAACTCAAATAGAGAAGGATCCCTGCTGGCTGCATATTAACTTAGAAAACCACAAATTCACATTATCTATGTTAGATTGTATTTTTATTTATTTTGTTAAACATTTCCCAATTACATTTTAATCTGGTTTGGCCCCATGAGTTTGACACTTCTGTTCTAGGCAACTGTCTAACATAAGAAGGTGCTTTAGTGTCTGGAGTTTCTACTCTGGAGTTCCCTTCTTAGGGATGAAATCATAGGTATGAAACCTCTATTCTTGTCCCTCCAAAATAATACTCCCCTATGTTGTTAGATAATTGTTTTTGCTAAACTTGCTTGTTGCATAAATCGAGCAATAAGCATTTCAAAGATGTAACCAGTACTCTATTTCTCTTATTATTTGCATTTGGGGGAGTTGTGATTAAGTCAAATAAAGAATTTGATGCACTTGACTAGGTAAGTTCTTCTCCCTTGTCTGCTCTATTGGCCATAGATAAACATCTGACCTCTGACCTCATTGATAAACATTTCTCTTTTTTCTGAGCTTATGTAGGTGTTTGGAGCTCTGTGGCTTAACCAGTCCTATGTAGATGCTCCAGGATGCTTAGTTTAGAGCAGTTACAGAAGGAGCTTGAAAACAGTATAGCTTATTTATAGAACAGTGGCTATTTGCAAATAGTTGAAAAACCAAGTCTGATAATTGAGAGGAGGTTAGACTTGATGCTTCAGGTAGTTGGGAGCCATGTGAAGTTTTGAGCAGAGTAGTGACATGAAGTATTTCAGGAATGATATAGGATGGATTGAATTGGGAGTAAGCTGGTAATAGGGAATATAATTATTACAGTAACGTAGACATGAGATAACAAGAAGGCTAGGGAATGGCGTGGTGGATTTTTTGGAAGAGTACTGATTTACAGTGAGCGCTAATACTGAGATCATAGAGGGAAGAATAAAGGAAGAAGAATCAGCAGGACTTAGTGACCAGATTTTGAATAAAATAGAAAGGAGGAGAAATAAGCCAAAGGTAACACTGAGGTTTTTAAGTCTCATAGAATATTGTTATTAGCAGATTAATAGAGTAGGAAGGTGATTCAGCTCGAGTTGACAGGAATGTTCAAGAGGACACATCAAGTGGGCCTTAGGAAATAGAGGACTAGAGGTCTAGGGGCTAAGTATTTGTGATTTAATTAATGGCCAGTAGGCAGAAGTGGGAACTCCTTGAGCCTAACTTAATTACATTTCCTAATGAATTTGGAAGTAATAACAATTTAGGAATAACATATATATATATATATATATATATTTTTTTTTTTTTTTTTTTTTTTTTTGCCGCTAAGTCCAGGTAATGCCTGACTTAGAAACTGCATGTTTGAAGTTGAATGCACACCTAAAATTATCTTTTTGAAAAACATTGATTATTTTGTTTGTTCTTTTCCTAGAAATATAACTCATAAAGCTGCTTTGTTTTTTCTTTCAGGTGGTAAAGCTCTCTGAAATAGTCACCTTAGCCAAACAAGCTCAGGTGGATGTGAAGTTTCAGTTGCCAATCTGATCTGGGACTGTTATGACTTACTGAAAGTGTTCAGTGTTCTATATTCTTTGAAATACTGTGTTCTATCGTTTTTTTTTCCTTTTGTGTAGTTGGAGGCTTAAATTGCCTTCTGGGCACACAGACTTTAAAATATCTTATCTACGTTAATTTTACCATCCAGAGTGGTCAGTTCATGTGAAGAAAGTGTAATGCAGCACTCTGGTTTCTTTTGTTGCAGCCTCCTTCAGCTTCTGCTACAAAATGCCACTTGCAATATGCCTGTTTGTTATCATCAGATATGAAACTTTTCGGCTGATAATAGATTCCTATGAATGCAGTCTGAAGATAAACTTTTATTTCTTCTAGTCTTAGGTCTAAAAAGTAGTCTTTAATGGAAAAATGTATTGAAATAATGTTTTATATTAGAGGCATTTATCTTCAATATCTGTCAAAAGACCTACCAATCATTATTTATAAGCAGTGCTTTCAAACACTCCCCAGAGTACTCCCTTACGTATTTCAGTGAAATGACTGATTATTTGGAAATTATATTTTAATCACTACAAGATACTGTAGCACTGAAAATCTCATGATTTTGTGGTGCTATTAATAAACGCTATGTAGTTTTGTATATGAACAAATAAAGCATACTTATTGAGGACTTAGCAAACAAAAGAATGCCAATTTAAGTTAATAAAAGTCTCCCAAAGTGGTTCTGACTACTGTTTGTTTTGTCAGCCTTTAAGTTTTAAAAAATAACTTAGACAATAGAAAATCATGATTTCATCTTTGGCAGTAATTGAATCTAGGTTTTCCTAGCTGTAAGACTGGCCCTCTATCCAATATAGTGCTGCCTCTTGATGACAAAATTATTTTGAAGTTAGTCAACAAACATTGAGCATGTGCTTTGTGCCAGGCACCAAGCTAAGCATTGGGAACTCAAAGACAAAAGTGAAATGGTCACTGCCCTCCCCGAACTTTCATTCTAATTGGAAGACAACATGTACGTATGCGAGTATATTCAGAATATATACATAATGAATATTTTGGGAGCGAAGACATAATAGCTTGAGGGAAATCAGGAAAGGATTCATGTAGAAGATAGAACTTGAGCTGAGTTTTGAAGGAAACCAGGGATTCTAGGAAGGAAAACATTCCAAGCATGGAAACAGTATATAAGGTGCTGCGTGAGGATCAATAAGTAGGCTAGTATGGGTGGACTGTAGAATGCACGGAGTGGAGAGTAACATATAAGATTGGAAAGGTATGAATAAGGGGTCAAGTTATGGAGAGTTTCAACTACTAAAGAAGAATTTATATTTGATCCTAGAGTTAATGCTTAAGTGGAGTGACACGATCAACCCCACGCTTCAGTAAAATTTTGGTGGCTGTGTAGAGGCTGAATTGGAGAAGGGAGAGATGATGTAAGTAAACCAAGTAGGCTATTGCAACACACTAGGGAATAGATAATAGGTAATAAGGATCCAAATGAGGGTGGTAACTGAGTAGAGAGCAGATGTGTGTGAAAATTGGAGATAGAAATGGCAAGATTTCGCAAATGTTTGGATTTGTGGAGCGAGTGAAGAGTCAAAGGTGATACTGATACTCTTGAACATGGATAACTGAAGGATGGTGGCACCCTCAACAGTAAGTGGGAAGTTTGGAAGAGGGATGAATTTTGGGGAAAGATAATGGGTTCTTTTTTGGATATGTTGAGTTTCAGATGCCAATGGGCCATCCATTTTGAAATATCTCTCTGACTTGTACAGGGTCATGCAAGTAATCTAAGTGTTTGGAGTAGGATTTGAACTCGGGTCTAATTGTGTCTAAATCCAGCACTCTATCCACTCAGCTGCCACCTCCCGCAACATTTAGCTTCTGTATAAAAACAAGAAAAGACAAAATGTCCCACACTGTGCCAGGGAACTTGGTCAGTTCCTCTCTCCTTTGCATTATTGTTCCTACGCCTTCCTTTGTAGCACACAACAACATTTAGTTGAAACAAAAGCCTGCTTCAGCAGTTACATTATTTAAATTGCAGTGGAATGGCTTTGGTGCAAGGGTTTGAATCTTGGGAAACAGCATTATAGACCAATGCTTCCTAAGCTTTTCAGGGATGAAAACCTCCTTTTAAAGCAAAACACTTTCTTGGACCCACACATAATAGTTGTACTATTTATATCAATTGAGAAAATCTGTAAATGGTGTGGAAATGATGAAATATATGAGAAGTAAGTAAGTGCTCCAGAGTTTCCTGAGTGTCGTGGATCATACTACTAGTTAAGTGTCAAAAATGGAATTTGAACCCAAGTTTAAAAAAAAAATTCTATTATTTTTAACTAACAAACATTTATTTCTCTCTTTCCCTGAAAAAAAAAAACCCAATCCCTTGTAACAAACATGCATAGGCAAGCAACAATAAGTTACCTCAATAGCAGTGTCCAAAAATATATTTCTCATTCTGCTTATTTAGTCCATCATCTCCCTGTCAGAAGGTGGGTAGCATTCTTTATCATCAGTCTTTTGCAGTCATGGTTGGTCATTTGTGTTGATTAGTATTCTTAGGTCTTTCAAAATTATTGAAGCCATTGTCTTCTTGAAGTCAAATCCAGGACCCTATTTATAAAAGCTGCTATGAATTAGTTTTGTCTTAAATTACTTTGTGCTTTAATAATCAGTAGCATCTGCATATGAAGAGCAAATATATGTGACAGTCTACAGAAAGCATGTTTCTTTATGGATTCTTGTATTCAGTTACTCTTTGCAATTACTGCAGTTCTAGGGGTCTGTGACTCAGAGGTTGGGAATCATTGGTGTAGACTACTCCAGACTCAGAAGAAACTTGCAAGTTGTGTTGGACATTTCATAAATTGAATTAGAAGGTAAATAGTTAATCTCATATTTTGTACTGTAGCCCTTTCAGAAAGCCTCAAGACACAGATGAAGTCTCCTGGATGCTAGAAGAATTGCCTTTCACATCATAAGTAGATCTGTCTACCATTCCTTGTTGGTCCATGGTGAAGTGTTTGACTTCTCTCTCCCGTGATTCAAAAGCCTTTGAGAAGGCTCTTCCTTTCTCCCCAGCTTTGAATCCCTTATAATTTCCCCTGGGCACCTTTACTGAGTTACCCAGTTTACATAAATATCAGTTTACCCTGCTGGCTTCATAAATCATCTAGGAGAGAGAAGAAGCAATCACCTGGTAACTACTCTAACTTGCCTGTCAAAAGGACATATTTTTAATCTTTGCTACATAGACCTGTTGATCTTAGCAACAGAAACAGAATCCTCCTCCAAGGCTGACTTCCTGGATCACTGCCCACCTGAGGGCAGCTTAGAGAGTCTCTCAGAGCTCAGGGGCCAGGAAAATGACCCAATTTTTGGTATCAAAAGGAAGCTGCTAGTAGAAGCACATTTGTTTTCACAGTATCAATTTTAATTCAACTTGACAAACATTCCTTAAGCACTTTATGTGTGCAGGTCACTGTAGGGAATTTATGGCACATGTTATCCTATCTGCTGATAGATATTGTTAGGGCTAGTAAAATTTCTCTGAAGGGAATTTCTTTTTTTTTTTTTTTCCAGTGAGGCAATTGGGGTTAAGTGATTTGCCCAGATTCACACAGCTAGTGAGCGTGTGTCTGAGGCTGGATTTGAACAGGCCTCGTGCCCTATCCACTGCGCCACCTAGCTGCCCCACCAAAGGGAATTAATGAGGGCTGTAGTGGAAAGAACATTGGTTCTGGTGTCAGCATCCTGGATTCAGATCCCGTCTGTCACTACCTTTGTGATCTTGGTTGAGTCTCTTGCCCTGTATGGGCCTGCTTCCTCATGTGTAAAATGAGCGGATTGGACTGGATGGCTTCAAAGATCCTTTCGCTTTAACTCTGTGATCCTATGAAATCCACGTAATGATGAAGAATCAAGAGTAGAGAGATATTGTCATCTGAAAGCCTGTGAGCATATATCTTGAATGGGAGAATTTCCCAAAAGTCAACAGAGTAGTGTACCTTAATGGAAAGAGCATGGGTCTAGCAGTCCTAAGAACTGAAGGATAAGCAATTTACATAGACATTTATGGCTTCACCATGAACTAGTTGTATGATCACCTGTAAGTCACTAAAATTCTTTAGGCTTCCGTGTTCTCATTTGTGGAATGAGTGGCATTAGCTGATCTCTAAGGTTCCTTCCAGCTCATCTATGATTTTAGATGGTCAATTTGTAAAGTGGCATGGTACAGTAGAAATACCACTGAATGAAGGGTAAGATGTCAGTTCAGATCTTGATTCTTTCACTTACTAGCACAAACAAATAGCTAACCCTTGTTGGGCTTCAGTTTCCTCTTGGGTAAAATGAGGAGTGAAGACTGGGTGATGTCTGAGGCCCCTTCCATCTCTGAATCTATGAACTGTTATTGTACCTACTTCACATTTGGAGATAAGTCTGCATTAGATGAGTGAACTGTTCAGTAATTCTCCTAGGATTCTTATTAATCTAATTAACCTTGGAGAGAAAGCTGGTTTGAACACATGCACACAAAACAAGCAAGTATATGAAACTTTCTTGGGGGCTGTTTATGTCTAGCAAAGGGTTCTAATTAAGGAACTCTGGAAAATCTTGTGGGGAGATGTCGGAGTGGTTAACATGTGGGCTGCTGCTGTTAGAATTAGGCTCATTATCCTGTAGCGGCTCAAAGGGGTGAGAAAAGGCCTGTAGCAAAAATCTGTTTAAAGAACCATGTAATTTAATATAGAATACCAGGCCTGAAGTCAGGAAGACTTATCTTCCTGAATTCAAATCTGGCCTCAGACACTTACCAGTTGTCACTTAGTAAGTCACTTAACCCTGTTTACCTCAGTTCTTCCTCTGTAAAATGAGCTTGGAGAAGGAATGGCAAAAATTCTCCAGTATCTTTGCCGAGAAAACTCCGAATGGGGTCACGAAGAGTTGGATGTGCCTGAATGGACTGAAGAGCAGCAACAACAGAAATTTCATGTGAGCTTGTAAAAGGCTGAAATAAGATTTATTTACGAGTTTGTGATACAAAGTGAAAAAAAGTAAAGGACTGAAAATATCAGTTTTTAAATGAAAGTTTGATTTAAAATAAAAAGATGATAGTGAAGGGTGAACATAACATTGATTTAAAAGGTGATGTCATCAGAGTGACAACCTACTGATGAGGAAATTGGGAAAGGAAGCAGTATAGATGCTGTTACAGAAGAGAACCAGGATAATAAAGCTGTTTGCCCTTGATGGTCAGCATGTCAGACCTGCTGTTGAAATGCTCTCATGATTAAGGATATCACTTTCCCTGTTCTCTTTCTCCCCCCCCCCCCCCCCCCCCCCGGAAACAGCTCTTCGGCTAGTTCAGCTATACTTCCTTGTTTTTCCTTCGCTGTTAGTGGTGTGGGGCCATTATAGTCTGTTACTCCTCTCACTTGCTTTTAAATTTAACTAAAAAAGTATTTTTAGCTACTGTCATGTGCAAGATTCTGGGGACACAAAGAACAGGAGCTTATATTCCACTGGAGGGAAACAATTTGTACACAGATAAATGATAAATGTACCCAAAGGAAATAGCAAAGAAATCCCCCCTCCCACCCCCGAGGGAAGGGTAAAGTCGAGAGATAAAGAAAAGCCTTAACATGCCCTCTGAACATAGATGGTCTTCATGAAGTCCAGGCTCTGTCCTGGGCCCTTTTTCATCTATGT